CTCAGGCCCTCTTTTTTTCTTTTTATTGGTTCTTTTCATTGTACATGACAGTAGAATAAGTTTTGGTATATTTATACAAGCAAGGAATATATTTTATTCTAATTCAATCCCCTGTATTTCTCCTTTCCCTTCTCTCCCCCAACCCCTGCTCCTTTTCCTCTACTAATAGTTATGCTATTTACCCAGTTATTTTTTATATTTCTTGTGAATGTACATGTTGTTAAGATTAACTGTGTTATATTCATATATGTACATAGGAAAGTTATCAGATTTTTTTCTGCTCTTTCCTTTTCCCATCTCCCCGCCCTTCCCTTCATTCCCTTTTGTCTACTCCATTTTCTATTAACAAGGAAACTACCAGAGGGATCCACTCAGTCACAGCAAGTCAGTAGAAGTGAGAGAATTGGAATAAAAAAAAAACTGTTGTATAAAAAAAATGGCAGCTATTATAAAGACAAACAACAATAAGTTCTGGTGAGGATTTGGGGAAAAAGGTACACTCATACACTGTTGGTGGGACTGCAAATTGGTGCAGCCAATATGGAAAGCAGTATGGAGATTACTTGGAAAACTTGGAATGGAACCATCATTTGACCCAGCTATCCTTCTCCTCGGTCTATACCCAAAGGACTTAAAAACAGCATACTACAGGGGCACAGCCACATCAATGTTTATAGCACTACAATTCACAATCGCTAAAATGAGGAACCAACCTAGATGCCCTTCAGTAGATGAATGGATTAAAAAATGTGGCATATATACACAGTGGAATATTACTCAGCAATAAAAGAGAATAAAATCATGGCATTTGCAGGTAAACGGACAGAGTTAGAGAAGATAATGCTAAGTGAAGTTATCCAACTCCAAAAAAAACAAATGCTGAATGTTTTCTTTGATATAAGGAGGCTGATTCTCAGTGGGATAGGGAGAGGGAGCATGGGAAGAATAGACAAACTCTAGACAGGGCAGAGGGGTGGGAGGAGAAGAGACAGGGCAGGGGGTTAGCAATGATGGTGGAATGTGATGGACATCATTATCCAAAGTACACGTATGAAGACATGAATTGTTGTGAACATATTTATATATAAAAAGGGATATGAAAAATCGTGTTCTATATGTGTAATAAGAATTGTGATGCATTCCACTGACATGCATTTAAAAAATAAAAGCAATTAAAAAAAGTAAAAGAAAACTTTGCCATAGGAAAACTACAAAAACTAGTTTTAGAGTGTTTACAAGTATGTTTTCTAATTAAGATGATTCTTTACTGTCTTGGGGGGTTATAAATCTATGTCAAATGGTGATATGAAATTATGAAATTCTTCAAATTGATGTAAACCTATAAAATTAAATGTATTAGCATTTATATATATATATATCATGGTGCTTTAAAGAACATGGAATAATGGTGCGAAAGAATTATGATTTTGAAATGATGAAATGGAGTTTTTCTCTCTTCCCTTAGAGACAAATATCTAAGGCTGTTCAAACTAATGACTTTATTATAAATTGCAAGCCTATTCTTAGGCATTTGGGGCTAATAGTAACAGACACTTTAAATTTTAAATAAATATTTCAACCTGTTCTTTTAATACATAGATGGTGACATTATCTTGTCACTACTTTAAACTTGATGCCAATTTGAATTAACTGACATAAAATTTAGGATATTTTACTCTATTGGTACTTACACATCATATCTTTATCATTTTAAGGCAGTGAAAAGTAAAAAGAGTACAGTTTACTTTTAAAAAAAGAAATAAAGGGAATTAAGCAGGGCATTGCAGCTTTCAAAACACTGTTTTATCTAATTAGATTTCATAGCATACCATGGACCTAGTTCTAGTATTTAGATTTATTCCTGTGACCTTGGCCAAATTTTAGATTTCTTTGGACCTCAATAATTTTTATCAGTATTTAGTCGTATTGTTGAGAGGAATACATCGATTGTTAAATGTAAAACATTTGCAGTCCAGACTGAAACACATAATAAACCCTCAACAAATGACTGCTGCTCTCAGTATTATTCTCATCCTCTATGAGAAGTGAATAGTCATGATTATAACCATCCCTACTTTATAGATGGAGAAATTAAAGCCCAGTGAGGTGAAGAGACTTACCCAAGATAGAATTAGATTACAGAGAAATCTATTGGATTCCTCTTTCCATTTCTGTCATTGCTGCTGGGATTTGGGACTAAATAGGAAGTACTGGCACAGCAGCCTCCCTCCCCTCACCCCGATTCTGTATGAACACACATACTGCCTAGGTGGAAGGAAAGCATTGAGATAGGACAATTATTTTGGAATTACACTTGTTTTTTAGGTTTTTATTGCAGGAAAGGATTTCCCAGTTTTTGCTCTATATCTATATCATGAACAAAATATGTCTAGTTTGGCAGTGTTAATCTGAATTTGCTGGAATTTAGTTAAATGTTGATGAACATGAGAGAAAGTACCATTTGAATACTTGGTCAATGATATTATTTCTTGATTCATTTGCTGATCTCACAAGAGATTTCCCATTATTTTCAGTGGTATTTGCAAATTTCTTACCGGTTATTATCTAAATTCTTCTTCGATTTCTTTTTACAGTAGTGGATTGTCTGGATTGTCACACCAACTATTAAAGCCAATCCTATTCCAGGCAATGTTGCTACTAAAATCAGATCCAGGGTATTCCAGAGCTGGTCACATTTAGCTCCCATGAACCAATAGTTTCCCCACCGGCCTCTGAAGTTTGGACATCTAAAGATAATAGAAATAGAAAAAGCTTACAAATTAGGGGGAAAACACATTTTGTCTCCTCTGAGTGAATCCAACATTTCATTGTTATTCAACCATGAGGTTTCTCTTTAAGGCCCTCAAGAGATTTGTTGTCCCATTTTACACTTGAGCAAGCATTCTAAAAGTACAGTTTTAAACACATTGAATCAGCATGTTGAAAGCTGTCAGGATTTTCCAACCATTAGCTAATGAAGATGTGGCACTTAGTTACATCTGAAAAAGAGGTGTGTGTATGTGTGTGTGTGTGTGTGTGTGTGTGTGTGTGTGTGTGTGAGAGAGAGAGAGAGAGAGAGAGAGAGAGAGAGAGAGAGAGAGAG